TCATTGGGGTAGACTGTACTCAAGTTACAATGCAATTGGTCAAACTCATAAGGTGCCACCAGTGTACTTTAGAATGATAAATTCTATCAGTGTGCTTTGATATCAAAATGTGTACCTGCTATGCAAAATGCGTATAGGTTGGCAGATCTGCTACTTTGATTTTCTTGCCATCCCACAGCAGGTGAAACAAAATTCCTTATGCTGCACCACATTTTGTACATTGATCATCATCCCTTATACCCATGTTGTGTAGCTATAACTGGATGTAATATCGCTGATTTAGTATTTTAAATGGCCTTTAAATGGCTTTTGTACAAAAAAAAGGCTTTCTTACATTTTTCCATATACTGTCCCAGGGAAATGTGTCCTCTTCTATATCCAGGTCTCTGATCCATTTCTTTGCATATAGGTTATGCAGAACACCTTAACAACATTTTTATGAAACAAGCTGTCATTAGCTGTCATGTGCTTGTGTTGATGTTGAATTTGTCTATGGTAACATTTTTTGTTATAGAATGCTTTAGAATAATATAAATGAGGTTTTTGCTTTTTGGGATATTATACTCTGTGATTAAATAATCAAAGGTTTTAAAACAATTATTAAAGCATAGGTTTTGAAGGCTAATGATTCCACTTATTGTTTCATGCTGTGTTTGGATTGTGCCATATTGGTTGTGTGAAGTGCAACGCTAAAAGGCTGGAACAGCCCTTTAAAACTAGAAAACTAGACTAGAAAACATTCCAGATGCCGGTGCCTTTGTTGGTACTTACAATAAAAATGAATTTCTCACATAGCTCATAATGGAACAATTTATTTTCGCTAATGTACATAGACTTTGTTAAATCATTTGTGCCAGAATAATGCCTTCCTGCATTTCGTCTTAAATCAGTCTGTATTAGCAGCTTTGGGATGACTAACAGTCTTCTACTGTAACAATGACTGTCTTCAAAGAGGGAGCAGCAGCAAAGCTGGATAATACAACAACACATTATTAAAGGCTTGAATACAATAGCTTTTATGCAAAATGAACAGAGGTGACAGACGAGGCACTACTGCCATTTGTGTGAGCTGTGTTCCAGAGAAGAAAAGCTTTCTAATAGAGAATAATGGTTCTGTCCTCAGACAAATGGACCAGAGAAAGAAAAAGAACAAGGAGAAAAAATGTCTCTTATCAAATATAATTAAAGGGCAAAGCAATTCAGTCGAAACACTTAGGATTTTAGCTATAAGAGGCATGGTTATCAGAAACATTTTCATTACCAATCTTACTTCAAAGATACTACACATTCAAGCGATTAGTGTCAGATGATGAGAACTGGTATCAGTGATTCACACTGTCCTCCTACTGGAGCCAAAGCACAGAGTGATGCTTTATGAGAAATGTGGGCACCATGACTAAGCTTTCCTGACTCTTAAAAAGGCTATGCCAGTTTATACTGGCCTTTGGTCAGTGACACATTTGGTGTGGTAAACACTACAGTATGTGTACAATATCCCAATACTGAGTCATTAAAACAAAACAAAACAAGACAATTGCCTTTATCAATACGGAGCATGCCACGGTCAAGCTCAGGCTTTGTGAGTATGAACTCAGCAAGTTGAACTCAGGAGTCCAGACTCACAAGGGACAAGTGCAGTACGCTCAGTTTGCAGCTGGGATAAGAGTACTCTTGCTAACATCAGTGCCAGAAACCTCTGTGCTTAGATGCACAGCAAAGCTTTCATTTTCAGTAATTACTCTACAGCATCTACTGTGTCCCTGGTAGGCTAGTGGTTAAGGCGCAACACTCTCGCCACTGCAGCCTGGGTTGTGTCAGGAAGGGCATCTGGCATAAAACACGTGCCAAATGTCAACATGCAAGTTGTCAGTGTGATGATTTGCTGTGGCGACCCCTAAACGAGAAAAGCCAGAAGTGACTTTCTTTCTTACTCTACAGTGTCTACTGTAAATCAATGGGTATGCAGGAGCCTGACATGGTGAAAACAGTTCACACAGTTCCATAATAAAAGCCTGGTACTTTCCAGGAGCCCCAGTTACAACTGGTGCATACACACAAGATCTATGTCACTTCCCATAGAAAAGTTGGGATTTATAAAAACCAGTTTGGTGTGAAAATGTGCATAGCTGTACGCAAACTCTGACCCTTGTGTACCAACATTCTGGATATGAGGCAAAGCAGTGCAGCCACATTTTCTATGGCTCTTTCTTACAGGTGTAATTTCTCCTCTACACAATGTGGCAAACATTCAAGTAGCTGTGTTATATTCTGTTTGTATGGCACTAATTATCCCATAAGGACCTTTCTGTTTCAGCAAATACAGGCCAATCCTAATCCTAATCAATTACACTGGTTCATCACCACATTAACAAACCCTCAGAGCTTATAGGATATGACTGGGCTGTATGATGCTCACACTCAGTCCCGGGCAGTTTCAGAGCACCTCTGCATGGATAAAATGCCAAGTGCAATGCCAGTATGTGTCAGGTGGTAAATTCTTCTTGCTCAGGTTTTGCCATTAGGGTATTAACATATACGACCATTGTACACACCCAATAGCTCTTTTTTAAATTTGTATATAGATAAATATATTTATCAATTGTTGTTTTTTTTCTTCTTGTCTTTTATTTGTTATTCCATGTTTTATTCAGTTTTTATTTTATTTGGCGGACCTTGGGGGCCACTGAACTGGAGTCAAACTCCTTGTATTTTTAACATACTTGGCAATAAAAATTCTGATTGATTGAATATCCCAGTTTGTTTTCACATTTCTTTACAGAAGTAGAGAACAGAGCACTGGTAAACACATGTAAACCTTTGGTATAGATCCTGAAACCAGTAAATAAATGAGTCCCCAGGTGACTAGGGCAGCAGCTGCATACATCCTTTTCTTTTCATTGAAAGTCAAAGTCTTAAAATTTTGAAATCCTGAAGATTAAACTGGCAACTATTTCACTGACATTAATCATTCTTTCAACTAAAGCAGTCCAATCTACTTAAACTTAAAAATGTCATCAAAGGCAAAAGGAAAAACATAAATGCTACTTTTATTTTATTTATGGAACTATTTAACTGCAGATGCACAGTTGACATCTACTCTTAGTGTTTTTGAACTGCTGTATGTTAATATACACTACAATTCAAAAGTTTGGGGTCACCTCCATTTTTTCCAGTTGTTAGTATAATTCAACATCAAATACACTTGTGACTTTCTTTATAGAACTGAAATCAAAGAGTGTGCAGATGGATAGCATTGTTGCAGATGTGCTGCACTTATACATTGCTTTGCTTTCACTCTTCACTGTATGCCAGACACAAGGACAGTGTCTTCCTCCGGGCCATCACTCCAATGAACACTTAACCCATGACTGTATAACAGAACGACAACCCTCAGTGCAATACCTTGTTTATATACCTTTGTATATATCTGAAAAGTACTTTATTTTTATATTCCTAATGTATGTTCCTTCTTGTTTGCACATTCTTTTTCTTTCCTTTTTTGCTCTCTCAGCCTTATACTGTTTAAAAAAAAAACTTTATTTGATCTGTATTTGAGTTTTACTTTCCACTCATATGGAGAAGGTGGGATTTATGAGCTATACTGCAACCAGCCACCACAGGTGATCCCGTTCTGGTAGCTTCACCTCTGGGAGCTGTCATATTTGTGTCCATATTTTCTACAGTCGATGGGTCTACCTAATAAACTTAGTGGAAAACAGTTGTTTGTTCACACGCAGGGCCATGTTACTCTGCATTGCAGAAGCTGGACTTGCTCACATTTGGACTAAAATCCTATTCATTGGGTTTAGCTTGGGAGGAAAAG